CATTGAAGGTGTGTGCTCAAAGGCGTTTGTGAGACCCTATTCATTTCTCTTCCTCTTCTCTGCCTGGGTTGTGATGTAAGCAGTTTGCTTTACCGTGTGCTCCTGCCATATGATGTGCTGCTGTCACATCAAATAGGCCACCAGATCTTGGACTAGAATCTTCAAAACAATGAACCCCAATAAACCTCTTCTTCTTTAAGCTTCAGATACTTTGTTATACTGATGGAAAGCTAATATGTGTCTCTTTCTCTATTTCCTCATTGACTATAAAATACATATTCTCATGTCCTTAAATGTCCCAACAACATCTTCCTTTGGTTTTTGCAACTTCTTCATATCTCTGCCTTCAGTCCAACTGGACCTTTCTTAATGTGCCCTTTTATTCCAAGTGATGTCCTTCAACAGCAGAGGCCCCAGACTCAAAATCACTGATTCATGTCTCACACTCTGGTCATCATGAATCCCTTCACATTTTTTTCTCTGCTGCTTTCTTGCCTTTCCTAATTGCTTAAAACTTTCCATACTGCCTCTGGAATTCACAGTCATCATTAGATTAGCAAAACTCCAGGTTTTCACTTTTTTCTTACTATATTTGCTTTATTTTTAGACCCAGAATCCAATCAAAGACCACATATTGATTATCTCCTATGTTTCTGTTAACAGAAACTTGAGTTCAGCAAGTAGTTCTTGAATAAATGCCTTTAGTTCTTTAAGCCTTAGTCCCAGATTTTTAAAAGGGAATTTAATGACAGTAACAAATGTCATAATAGGATTGTCAGCAAACAAAAGACAGAAAAAGTGCCTTAGAAATTGTGAAGTAAATGCAATTGGTTATTCTTCTAATTTTTATCGATAGAGTTGAAGATAAGTTTCAAGTTTCATTTGTCTTTTTATTTCTAGTACTTAGTATAGTGCCCAGTGTCTGGGCTGACTTCAGTGTTGAGACTGGATGATTAGACTCAGGTGTGCATAAATATGATATCAAGATGATTTCTCAAATCAGATCTATTAGTGGAACTCACTTTCTTTAATGGTGCACATCATGCAGCATTTACCTAGTAAAAAATCAAAAATTTAATCTGGGTATCTTAATTTTATTTAGAATTTTGAGGTTACTATTTTTCCTAAGTTTTTACTTTTATTTTAGAATCAGAATTAAATGCAGAGGAACAATAAAACATGTTTTATTTTGGAAACTTTTGAAAGAACCAAATGTAAATCAGATCATTGCTTAATGATTTAAATACATGGAATTTATTATTGCTTCAACATGGAATTTATTATTGCTTCTTTCCCCATTTCCATTCTTCTTTGTTAAAAAAAATCTACCATTTCATAAAATGTCCAGATGTTTTATGACATCTGCTCTATTAAGGTTGTTGATTCAGGCCCTTATTTTATTTCAGTTTAGCCAGTTCTACCAATACATGGCATCTTTGAAAATATATATCCACCATATTTGATATTAGCATCCCCAAAGTCTAATATTTTGCTGTGGGGCAGTGGAGAAGGAAAGAAACCGACACTCATAAAACATTTCCAATATCACCTTCTGTACGTACATTTCCACTGTAACTCATTGAAAAGAGCTGGTACATTCTGTATTATTGTACAGTTTACCAAGGGGGATAGTAAAGCTTGAAGCTTGAGATACTAACCTTATGCTGAGAAGATGTACCATTTTCCACAGCTCAAACTTTTTCTACTCTGCTTCTAGAAAGTGACCAGAGGCATGGATCTCTCATTTTTTGTAAGGGTGAGCAAATAGTGTTTTATCCACTCCCCAAACAAGACACTCCACACTAATTATATTTGCACATACTGCAGGAAGCTTTCACTCAGATTACACTTTCACGATAACCCGATAATATCCAGTGCAAGGGGTTTATCCTCACTTGCATCTCAGCTCATTTCACTGTATTGAATTATGACCTCAGAAAAATTAGTGGTCTCCAGAGAAAAGATTATTAAGGTAAAATTAACAGACATGAGAAACCTCTTAAATATTGTCAGCTTTTGCAATTTAAAATTGTAATGTTTATTTGATATTGGAAAAATGCAAAAAAAAATGTTAAACCAAAAAGCCTTGGTTTAACATTTTAACTTTTGGTGCCATCTACACCAAAGAAACTGCATTGTGTGATGTAACTTTAATCTCAGATAATTAGCAGTATTCCATTTTGTAAAACCAAAAATGGCTCTTAAATCATCATTAATCATTTTATAAAAGAAAATAAGTAATGTTTCTCATGTTGCTGCCTACTAATTGATGGGATGCATCAAATTTTCATTTCTTTAGATTTACATGAGCTTAAAATACCTTTTTATCTACATAAGGTAGGATGTCAAAACCAGCTTTTGGATTATTTTAAAGCTTACTAAGATCACAAGGCTTCCTTGAAAATATGTCCTATCTTGACAATGCATTAAACCTTAAGAAAAGTTTAATTAACAAATGTCAGAATGTGTTTCTTCTAAAAAAGTGATATATTAACAATTTGTTCCTATCTCCTGAGTTTAACAACATCTTAACCCTTAAAGAAAAAAGAGATTTTTTGCATCTTAGCTTATGCTCATCAAAATTTGATGTTTTAAAATTAAAGTGTATATAGAATAATAGAGTACAAAACAAAAGTTGAAGCATCCCATTGCTTAAGTCACTTTTAGATACACATTTTATCAATTCAGACAGTTTATCTGGTTCATTTCATTAGATACTACTCCACTTGCAGATCTTTTTTACACAAAATGGTTGTGGGTGCAGAGCCAGGTTAGGATTGTCTAACACCTCTGAACCTCACTTTTATGTTCTGGAAATGGAGTTCACTTATCTACCCATTACATGTTTTGAGGCATGGTGGTGAGAAAAGAGACAGACACTTGGGGTTTATTTTTATTTGTTAAGATGTTTGTTTCTTTAAATGATATACATATGGAAGAAAAAAAACAAAAGAAATATTAAACAAGGAAATATTTGCCACATTTATATCTCCTATCTTTAATATTTAGATGTCTTTATTTCATCCAGTCTGTTTTTTTTCTGCTCAAATACAAACACAACCATCAGTGTATTATAAAAACAAGGATTATAATAATGCTTTGCATCTCACTTTTCCATCAAGTAATCCCCCACATTATTTCCAATGATCTTTCAGTACTCCACATAGTGAATTTACTTAGTCAAATATCTATTGCATATTTAGCTCATTTCTATTATTGCACTGTTATAAAAAATAAATGACTTGATGATAAACTATGTAAATGTACATTTAGACACATCTCTGATTGTTTCCTTATGATAGTGTCCTAAAAGTGAAATCGCTGAGTGAAAGGGCATAGAAACTTTTTTGGATTTTGCAACAGATTTCCAAATTGCCCTAAAGAAAAGATTTTTTCCAATTTACACCATTACCCACGATGGATGAGAGCGTGGGCTCCCCCTACACCCTTGTCAACACCCTTGGTATTTGCATTATTTTCAATCTTAATACGATGTTATTGTTATTATTATGAATTTTTCAGCGTCTCTGGTATCATTCTCTCCCTTTTTTCTTTTTTTGTCCTTTCTCACCTACTTGGTGAGAAAATACAGGTTGTGAACGGGAAACTGTCACTCTTTGAACTAGAATTTCTTCCTCGGCTAGCTCAAAAAGCTATTTCATAAAGAAATGTTGTCCTTACTATAATTTTAAGCATCCCATTGCCAGTGGCCCCATGTAGGCCTGAGGCCTACAAGGATGTCTGTGCAGCCTACGGAGAGCACTAATGTATGCGACATTTTCTTTTTATTCCCTTTGGCGACCTGTGCCTTTGGGATGTCTTTGAGGTGTTTGATGCTTTTTTTTTGTAGCTAGAGTTATTGATCAGGGGAGCAAAGGGGGAGTGCTAGCAGTAGCCAGGGGAGGGTTTTTACCTGATCTTGCAGCCAGCATCGAAGGGGTCTGCTTGCACTTGGAACATGCTCAAGAATCTTGATGTTCATGACAAAACAGACCCCGAAGGGAAAATGCTTTATCATGGCTGGAAAATCAGGACAACCTGATATTTAGTGAACACAAGAAAAGAATCAGGAAACATATTTACAGCCACAAAGGATATAACCTTTGTGTCCTCTAAGGCTACTGTGATGACCAGGAATACATTCATTATGGTTCTCTCAGTACTTCTCCTTCTGGGAAAATAGTGTGGTTGATTGGGATGTTGGAGCTGGGTAGGACCCTGTGGCTAGTCCTGCACTATGAACTGTGGGAAGAGGTGACAAGAATCTCTTCAAAGAAAGAGTATTCAGCTTTGTTGGCCCTCTAGCTTTCTCCCTCTCAGACATGGAGACAATCAGCATTCCAAATCTCCAAGTGCAGAAACATGGAACAGAGCCTGCAAAGAGCCAACACATTAGGACCTGAAGTAGGAAGGAGAAGTGAGGTAGTATAGTATTGCTTCAAAACAGTGAGACTTTGGTTTATTTGTTACTGCAGCTAATCTTGACTGATGTAGACAGTTTGAAGGTTTTTTTCCCCCCTATTGAGCATTTAATAGCTATAAGACTTATACAAACCCTCATTGATTACATAGCAATAATTAAAATTCTGATGGCATACATTTAAACACATTTGACTGCAAACATATAAAGGATCTTTACAAGCTTAGTTAAGCAATTTCCAGAACTCATTGTTATGATCACTTTTATGACAATCTACTCAAAACGAGATTGAGAATGCTTGACTAAAAAGAGAAGGACAAATTGTGATAACATCCTGATTGAGTACTTGCTATGTGCCAGATAGAGTGCTAGGTAATTTACATGTATATTTTATTCACTATATCCTAGCAACTGTGGAAGGTCACCTATATTTCTATTTAAGCAAGAAGAACTGAGAGATACACAAAGATGGAGAGACTGTGAACCCAGGTTGGTCTTGCTCTATTGCCTTTGCTGCTTTCCCTTCTCACAAGTGTTTCACTACTTTATTCATATATTAATCCAAATGTATGAGACCTTCCATTACATAACTGAGAAATATAGCTATTTTCTTTTTTGGGGAAAAAAAAAAAAGAGAAACTTGTTCAATTTAGACCTGGAGTCCAAATACTCTGAGATTGCCTACACCATGAACTCTGCTGAAACTCAATTACAGTTGGAAAAAATAAGATGGTTCCAAGTTCTCCTCTTTAAATAAATAGCTATATTCCCCACCGACTCCAGGTGTTTTCATATCAGGTGTACCTTCCATCCCTTTTCCAGTTCAGGACTTTGCTAAAGGTCTCAGCCACCGATATTGTTTTCTCAGTAATTGAAAGAATATTTGCAAACAGAGATATCAGTTGGAGACTGCTACTTGCAGAAGCGCTCTCAGAGCATCTTCTGCTTTGAAGAGTGATTTATCTTTCCCAATGCATTGTTGAGGATGAAGAAGCAGCAGGTGGGGGAGGAGAAGGAAAAGGAGAAAAGGGAATCATTCGTTATAGTTGACGTTGTCAAACTCTTTGTTGTACTACATGGAGTGCCTTAGGTTCTCTCTGCCTATCATTCCTGTCTTGCAGCTGCTCACCGTAACGCAGAAGTGTCCTGCTCCTTTGTGGATGCACATCTGCTGTGAAAGTTGCGTGGACACACATCAGGAATACTGAGCCTTGGTTCTAACCAGTCGGTTTCCTCCATGGCCTCTGAAGACACCTTGGTTATCCTGCTTCCATCTATCTTTTCTTATTCTTTGGCCCAGAGTAGCAATATGAATAAACACATATCCCTGTGTGGGATTTTTCAAATCACAAAGTCTGTGTTTTATCATTATAAAATAGTTTATATATTTTGTCACTTAGTAAAAACCCCAGAGAGTAGGGAAGTTGGGAAACTTGCTTCTTCCCTGAAATGTCTGCCCATCAGCAAGACCCAGTTCAAGTCCAGACTCCTCTGATCAACTTTTTCCAGACTTTCCATCCAAGTTGGGCTCTCCTCCTTCCTGCCCATGGCAGCATGTGGTTCCTCTTCACCTGCCCCTCTCCCCCCATGCAGGTGCTCTTAACATTGGAAGCTGATGAGTTAGTGAAGAGGAAAACTCTTCATGGCCTGACTGAGGCTGGGTTTGAAGCCCAGCCCTGCCTATCAACCATGTGACTGTGGACAAATGGCCTTACCTTTCTGCACTGGGCTTTGTTTGTCAGTAAATGGAGATAACAGCAGCCACCATGTTTGACAGTTGTACAAATGAGACACGATAATGCACATCAAGGGTTTTGCCCAAAGCCTGGCTTGAAAATGGCAGGTCTCTCTCTCCTTCTCCCCAGCCCCTTAGAGGCAGAACACTCATCCCATATTCCTTTCCCATGTCTCATGCTCCCACAGATTTCACAGAATGCTGAACACATAGGGCAGCAAACAATCAATATTCCCTGGATTGAATCGTAGAGAGGCAAGTCCCCAGAAACCGCCCTTGGAGCAAAACTCCTCTGTGTGGGGCGGTCAGCAAACAGACCTTGCTGTTAATCAGGAGTGTCCTTTGAAGCCCAGGGGCATCTTTGATATAGGGGACTGAGGACTCAGCCAAAGCACACAGATGTGTCCACATCACACCAGTTCCTGGTAGTGTAGCAAAAAATCCTAGAGGTGGCCTGAAAACTGAAGCCTTCTTTGTATTTTTTTCCCTCCATGTATGAAAGTCACAATGGGTAATTTTATCTGGGATTAAAGAAACATCCATCTTGTAGATTGTATCATTTGGTTAGGAAAGGGCTGGTTGAAAGAATATTCACTTAAGAAACAAAATGTTTTCCACTGCTGCCATGAGCTGTTGATTTTTCTCTTCTTGTTTTTGTGTTTTCTAATTTCCCTATTGATTTGTAATTAATTTTGCCCTAGATTCATGAGCTTTGTAAACTTGGAGATTTTTTTTTTTTTTGTATTTAAGAAAATAAAAAAAGAGCCTGCAAGTTTTCCCCAGATCACCAGGCTTTAATATGAAATTACTGTTTTCTGGCAGGATCATCTGCAAAACTCTGATTTTGTTTCTTCTGTTCCTATCCTGATAATTGTGGCTGAATTCCCTTGTCTTTAATATGCCATATATTCTCCACCTGGCAAAGGATTCAGACAGATACAGATAATAAATACCCCGTAGACATACAGACAGAGAAACTGCTGTAATTGCTTTCATAATGACTCTGAGACATCAAAGGAAGGCAAATAATGGTATTTAACACTGTTTCCATTCTTTAGCTGAAATGTAATTTTATAGAGTTATTGTCAGGCGGTACAGTGAACGTACAAGTACAACTGTCATATTCGGCTCATATTAATTAGCTGCCCACGAGAGGGCCAGGCGAGTAATGGCAAAGTTCTCCTCATTTCAGATGGTCTGATATTCAGACAGAACCGTAAGTACAATAGCTTGATTAACATAGTTGCTTAGATCAGGTTTTCCCTGGGAGTGTGTCAATTGGCATTTTGAAGAATCAATTAATTAGCACTCCAAATAATCCATTCTTGGGTTAATGAAAGTGTTTTGTACAGCTGCAAAAAATTACATGAAGAAAAACTAAACCTTTCCAAAGTGGCGATGAAAAAGATTTATCTCAGAAAACTGTACTGTCCATTTCAAATGCCACCGAGAATGTGTGTTTCCTTTCAAAGCCGTGGAATTGACGTGTACAATTTTAGCCACAATGTGCTCATTTTGGCTTGGAGGAAGGCAAGTGGTGGTGCTATGGTAGCAGGGAAATGAGAACTTTTATTTTCACTATTTTGTCTTGTAATCGTGTTACTTAATTAGGGTAAGTCATGGCCAACGTTTTGCATATCATTATCCACTATTTTAAACAATTACTCTTTGAAGGCAGTGTGCTTATTAACATTTTTAAAATGCCAGTATCACACAGATATTCCTGCTTTTTAGAGTTCAAGATTCAATTTTCAGACAAATAAGAATTACACATTAAAGAAGCAAGTTTATTTACAATTAAAGCTCTTTAATTTAGAGATTCATTTTTAAAACCAAGTTTAAGTTATCAAAAAGGCAAACTGTGAAAATGTCACATACCTTTGCCATCATTACAATGATACTTTTGGCACACTTTATTGATTATTTTTTTTACAGAAAAAATGTGCCAATGTGATCTCCCTCTTTCTGAATTTTTTCTTGGGGTCCAAGTTTTAAAGAACCTACTTTTGTGGCATTACTTTCTTATCTCTGAAGTTATGTTAATCAAGCCTATAAATGAGCACATTGGTTTATTTGGTAATTTAGATCTCTCCAGTTTCTAAGATTTGGTGTGAAGTATTAGTAGTGTTTACATCATATTTTCTTCTTCAGAAACTTCCACATCTTTTAGCATCTCTGAAACAAGTCATTTTCAAGTCATGTTCAAGCTCCTTGAAATGGAGGCTGTTCAATAAAGTGTGTTAAGTTAAATGAGTCATAGTGCCAACTAAAAATTATCTGGGAGTAAAACATGACTTTTTTCATTTGTACAAGTGGCTTTTTATTTTTTTTGTTGATAGTGTGAAAATTATACTTTTTTGTTACTATAATTAGTTACTTCCCAATTTAGTTCCATTCATAGGATATGATTATTGATTAGAAAAAAATGAGCTTTAAAACAGACCAAGTGCTTTTATTATTATCAGACATGGGGTTCCTTCTCTTATTTTAATTAGTATGTAATAAGTCATTGGGATTTTGATGATGCTGACATGCATTTTCCTGCCTATTTGTGGGTAAAGGTTGCATCTGTGAGTTAACCCATGAATCTTCAAAAGGTAGATATGTGTAACAGGTCAAAATCAGGAGTATCCAGGAAAAAAGATAAAAACACAGAGATTAATTAAAATAAAAGCAGGCCAGTCATCTCCTTCTATTAAGATGAAAAATTTTTTTTTCCAAACTCAACTGTAATCTTTCAGGTTTAATAAGGCCAGCAATGCAGGTGAGGAAAGAGCTTTCATTTCCCAAGTCCTGAGGGACAAACCCACGCCATCCTGTTCCTCTAGTGACCAAGTGATGGGCAAGGACTTGTTTTCCAACACACTGGAGTGGATGCTCCTGAGATTCAGCACTGCCTGTCCATTGCTTATTCTTTTAGATTCTTGTAGAAACAAGAAATGACAAAGTTCTGTTGTTGCTGCTCGCTGTGGACTTCAGCCAGAAATGAGATCCATTGCTTATTTTGCTAATCAGCCCCTTCCATATCTGCATGCTCATTTTCTGATAGCTGATGAGGCGACAAGGTCATTGGACGTACAAGTACTTATTTAAAAACAGACATGAGAGTGAGATAGAGGTTAGTTGGGTCTATCAGAGCTGTCAATCAATTAATGAAAATTATTGAGCAAGGACACTGTGGGGGAAGTGAACAGAAGGAAGGAAAATGACCATGGAGACACAACATAGGGAAAACGACAGAACTGACTAAATGTGCTCACGTGAGTGCTAAAAACAGACACGCTCACATCCCAAGTGAGAGACAGCTCTGAGAAACAGTGACTGGAGTCTCTGTGACTCCAAAGGCTCAAAGGCTGGCAGTGCGGGGAGCTTTTGCCCAAAGGTACACCCCCGAACTATGCCTTTCCTGTGATGTGGAGGAGAAAGGTGTAATGCCTGGTGAATATTTGATTAATGGGCTGAAGACCTGTGGCCAAGATTTTGAGACGCTATTGTCCAGGCACAAATTTGTGATCAATGTAGGCCAAATGAATACAAGCAGCCCCGTTATTCAGGGAGAAAAAAAATATTGGATTCCTACCTGTAACTGCATGACAGACAAGGAGAGCCAAACAGAACAGTGCTAGGGAGGGGGCTTGGAAAAGCTGTCCAAATGGCCGTTCTATCACCACTGTCCACCGTGTGCTGGCACCAGGCAAACACAGACTAGTTATCAGTGCCGAAAAGAAATAATTCATAATGTGGTCCTTGGGGAGGGAGAATGGAGGAATAAGAAAACGTATAAATGAGAGGAGAGAGAGAGAGAGAGAGGAGACCGAGAGAAAGAGAGAAAGGAGAGGGACTGAGGAACTAGGGGAGAGAAATTGCCAATATGCTTGTGTGAATGAAAGATAGTGAGGGAGAAAAATGAAAAGGCTGCAAAGTCAAAAACGGGGAGATACTGACACCAAATCTCTGCAAAGCGTTCAAAATTCTCCAGCTGCCACGCTTTTAATTTGCTACCATTCTAATTAAAATGCAAATTAAATTTATAATTAGCATCAGCGCTTTCTAAAGAAACCTCCTTGTGCGCTACACAAACATATGGGACGATGCTGTAGTGTAAAGTTTGTAAAACAGAAGTAATGGCACAAAGTCGGGGGGGGGGAAGGGGAGGAGGGCTTTTCTTTCTTTCTTTCTTTCTTTCTTTCTTTTTTTTTCTATTCCCTGGGAAACAAGTCGTATGCAGACGCGGGGTTGACTTCAGGGAATGGCTGGCAGCCGTGGTGTTGCTTAAAGGAGGTTGGAAGTGGGCGAGTGTCCTGTTCCAACAAAAGGATTGCTGAATCTGGAGGATCGGCTGGGCTGTGACTTTGTGTTGAATCAGGTGTCAAGGGTTACCCCGCATGTCATCAGGATTGTATAGAAGATGCCAAAAGGCAAAAGGGGTCAAAGCTCCTAATCAAAAAGTCTATGGCCAAAATTAACCGCTGCTTGCTTCCAGATAATTAATTTAAAAATTGATGGGGAACAAAGTACCAGAATTACCTCATGATTCGCACACATATCATGTTTTCAAGGTAAACTGTCTCTCTCCAACTTGCTCTCCAAAGCTGAGGAGTGGGTGCAGATCCAAGAA